AGAGAGAGAGAGAGAGAGAGAGAGACCCTCAATAGTAGGTCCCCCTTTTTTTTTTTTTGGGGTAATTCAGTGGGGGTAATTTAGTGGGGAAGACAGGCCCCTACCTGTTTTTTCAAGTAGATTAGGAGTTAGCTTTTTTGAAAGTGTTAGTGGGGGTAGTGTTAGTTGTGAGATAGAAACCACAACTTGGTAACTAGAGTGTGGGGTACTACCACCACGACCCCAGCCTCTTTCACGACTCAATAGTAGGTCTTTGGCACACCCAAAGGAGGGGGAGAGAGGGAGGGAGGGAGAGAGTCATTTGCGGTTTGGTTTGGTATTCTTCCTGGGCAACCACGAGAGAACCTCTATCGTTGGTTATTTGGTAGCCAAGAGAGAAAGCCTCCATTGTAGGGTCTTTCGCACCGATAAAGGAGAGAAAGAGAGATGGGTTATTCCCAGTGGGGAGAGAGACCTGGTAGAGTTTTGAGAGAGAAATATAGACGGAGCATGAGAGAGGAGCAGGAAAAGAATACGCTAGTGGGTTTGGGATTTTTGGGTGGGAAATATAACTAGAGTAGGAAACTTAGAGACAGAAAGAGAGAATGAAAAAAGAGTACACTAATGGCTTGGGATTCTTGGGCAAAGAATGTAGAAGAAGGATAGTGGTTAACCGGTGAAATGGAAATCTCACCTAGAAATTTGAGTTTGATCTGACTGTAGGGAGCTAAATTTACCCCAAAGCCATGTACTTAAAATGTACAGGTCATTCTCTATTTTTGGGATGTAATATACTAATTAGAGTCGGCTACACGGAAAACAACCAAATCATTGTTTCTTATGATAGAGCCTATATTGAGAACCTCACTAGGTATGCCCACAAATCCCATATATACATACAAAAGGAAAAAGAAACATGGTTTCATAGTTATCCCATAGCTTGCAAAATTTTAGGCATTGTGTAAGCTATCAGTTTGATTTCATGGTAGGATAGGGTCTTATTGAAACCAGCTTGTGTCTTACCTTCACCCATTCAAATTGTTCAGATAGGCTCTAAATTAGCACTAATTTGCTTCAAGTTACAGAGGCTAAGTTATGTCAAAGAGTTTATTCATTCTACTGACCTTTGATTCACGCATTGTCACGCCATTAATGATGGCCTTTTGGTGTGGAGACGCCATGTTCCAAACGAGTCTTCCTGAGCTATTGTATTTGGATGGATTTCCTCACAACAATGCAGTGAGCATAGCAAGAAGGAGAGCACTAATGAATTTGAGGGTTTTTACATGGTTCCTTGAGAATTTATATGATGAAGATCCACTGTATATATGAGAGGATGGTTCGAATTTGAGTACTTGAAAAGAAATCTAAGCTGGCCATTGTTGCGTTACGAATCTTAATTGTTCATGTACGACACTCTGGCATGAGGTAGAAACTACGATTTACAGTTGTAGCACCATGATATAGCAATAACTTGACTGCATACTTTTCCAAAGTGTTCTCACGAATATGGAACCCTTCAAATCTTTATCCAAATCGTATGGCATATATTAAATTATTGGTCTTATTTTATTTCTTTTGACTCCACTGGTTTATCATTAAGATGCATTCCCTTTATGTGAAATCTAAACTGAAATATTATACCCTATGGTTATCAGTAGCAAGTCTGAGGAGATGCACCTTCGTATGGATGCCATCGAATAAAGGATGTGACCACTTGATATGAGTGCCACACTCAAGGCATCCAAGCCTTCTTTTTCTTTTTCAAAGTCTATTTTGGTGGGTTTGATGGGATTTGAACCTTCGAGGTGGTTTTGTCGCCCTCATAGTAAGGGCAACGAAGCTTGTGCCGACATGTTTACATTGTGCTCACACTCTTATGGCATGAAAGCTTTCTGATGATTGGTTTTTATGACCATGATCAGAAAGACAACATAAATTCCTTGCTTTTTATCAGCCATTCAAGCTTTTTGCTTTCTGGTTTCCATGGCCATAATAAGATTGTTAACTCAGATTTGTTGCTTGGACCATTAACTATGTAAACTTTACATTAATGAAAGATAATGACGACAAAAGCACTATGTTTTTATGCGAGCTGTATCTTTGTGACCAGAAAAGAATAAAGGTTGGAGAGAGAGTTCATATTTCATTAGTTCTTTTTTGCCTTTCGGTGGGTATAAGAGAATCCTGGTGGTTAAACTTTTTTTTTTGGGAAATTCAGTTTGGGGGGGGGTGGGGCGTGGGGGGAGGAGACGTTTTTTCAAATAGTTTAGGAATGACTTTTTTGAAGAGTAATTTATGTATGACTCCAAAGTTTTACGTAAAATATGAAATCCTCCACTTATAGGCGGAATTACAAAGGTCGGTCAACCCAATTTTTTTTTTTTTTTCAAATTGCCCCTTGGCCAACCTGAATTTTGATTTCTTTTTAGGTTTTTGTTTTTATTTTTTTTATTTTTATTTTTTATTTTTATTTATTTAGTAGGGTAGTGCCTTAAAGCTTGGGGCATTGCCCTACTAACTAAAAAAATTTAAAAAATTAAAATAAATCAAAATTTATGTTGATCAAAGAGCAATTTTGAAAAAAAATAAAAAAAATGCATTGACCGACCTCTTTTATAATTTCTGCTTATAAGTGGAGTATTTTGTATTTTGTATTTATGCTCATAAGTGTAGTTTGTGTTAATGGCAATGGAAACTACAACGTCTTGACTAGGGTGTGGGGGAGCTATTACCACGACTTAGTCCCTTTTCCAAGGTGGCTTTAAATTGGAGTTTGGAAACAGGAAAAGTACGATACAATCAAGTTTTAAAAATCCGGGAATTTATCAAAATACTTATCAGAGATGAACTTAAAAAGAAAAGTATGATACAATCAAGCTTTAAAAATCTGAGAATTTATCATAACACTTATGAGAGATACACTTGTGAGAGGTGAACTATTTAACATTTTACCTATGTAGTTTGAGTTAACTTTAAAATATAGATTAAAATGCACATGATCATGCGTTGGAATAGTTGTAAAATGAGAAAATATTAATTTTTATAAATTGGGAAAAGTTTATATAGAGCCGAGGCTTTAAAAAATCAAATTGGAGCCTATCACAAAAATTTAAGTAGAAGAGGTTGTTTTGATGTCTAAATATCCTCAAATTGATCATCTCGACATCAAGATGCATGGACATGAGAAAAAAATGGATTTCAAGTTTTGGAAATAATATATTTTATAAGGCATTTTTGGACCATCAATTTTCAAGATTTTTAAGTTTTAATAGATCTGTCGATCTGCACTATTTTTGAAGCTTTAAACTTTATAAATAAACATGAAAATATATTTCAAGGCTATCACAAAGATTTCCAATATTGAAATCAAATTTCTCGACACTATTTGAAAATAGGCTTTAATTTGATTGTTTAGGGCCTAGGCACTATACAAACCCCCTTATAAATTTCCAAAAAAAAAAAAA